CTTCCTGACACAATCTCGATGATGATTCAGACCAAGGTGTCTCTTGACAGGATAGCATCTTTCCTATGCCTTGAGGAGTTGCCGACGGATGCTGTGGAGAGGCTACCAAGTGGTAGCTCCAATGTTGCAATTGAGGTCAGCAATGGGTGCTTCTCCTGGGACGGCTCACCTGAGCTGCCAACGCTGAAGGACCTGAACTTTCAAGCTCAGCAAGGCATGCGTGTTGCAGTCTGTGGGACGGTCGGCTCTGGAAAATCAAGCTTGCTCTCTTGCATTCTTGGTGAGGTGCCAAAGCTATCAGGAGAGGTCAAGACTTGTGGAACAATGGCATATGTCAGCCAGACGGCATGGATACAGAGCGGCAAAATTCAGGACAACATACTGTTCGGCAAGGAGATGGACAGTGAGAAATATGACAGGGTTCTTGAGTGGTGTTCGCTGAAGAAAGACTTGGAGATCTTGCCATTCGGTGACAAGACAGTCATTGGAGAGCGAGGCATAAATCTTAGTGGCGGACAGAAGCAAAGGATTCAGATAGCCCGAGCTTTGTATCAGGATGCCGACATCTATTTGTTTGATGATCCGTTCAGCGCAGTCGATGCCCATACAGGATCCCACCTTTTCAAGGTATAATAAATTTTTTTTGTTCAATATAGGAGTTTGAGAACATGTTGCTTATTAAGGTTTCTTCCATTTGCAGGAATGCTTGCTTGGGGCTTTGGCTTCAAAAACAGTGGTTTATGTCACTCACCAGATTGAATTCCTGCCTTCAGCTGATCTTATTCTGGTGAGAATTTCACTGGAAAATGTTTCATGTAAATTTTATTGCCATAAATTGTTCGGTTCTCCTTATAAGATAATTTTAATGTAGGTAATGAAGGGTGGGAGGATAGCACAAGCAGGCAAATACAACGATATACTTGGTTCAGGGGAAGAGCTAATGGAACTGGTTGGTGCTCACCAAGATGCTCTCACAGCATTGGACGTGATTGATGTTGCTAATGGAGGCAGTGAAACGATCTCTTTAAGCCTATCCAGGTCATTGTCATCATCTGAAGAGAAAGATAAACAAAATGGCAAAGACGACGGTGACAAGGTTCAGAGTGGGCAGCTGGTGCAGGAAGAAGAAAGGGAAAAGGGCAGGGTGGGGTTCTGGGTCTACTGGAAGTACCTCACATTGGCTTACGGCGGAGCTCTCGTACCATTCGTGTTGATAGCACAGCTACTTTTCCAAGTACTTCAGATTGCTAGCAATTACTGGATGGCTTGGGCTTCTCCTGTGTCGAAAGACGCCAAGCCTCCAGTGAGCACGTCGACACTGATCTATGTCTTTGTGGCATTGGCTGTTGCAAGTTCGCTGTGCATCCTCATAAGGGCACTGTTTCTTGTGACAGCTGCATACAAAACAGCAACTCTGTTGTTCAACAAGATGCATATGGCCATATTCAGAGCTCCTATGTCTTTCTTCGATTCCACTCCAAGTGGGCGCATCTTGAATAGAGTAAGTCATCTGCATCTCCTCAGATTTCCTGGAAAGTTTGATTTGTTTACTTCGATTATCGCTCACTCAAGATTGAACTGTTTAGGCTTCAACTGATCAAAGCGAAGTGGATACAAACATCGCTTACCAGATGGGTTCTGTTGCGTTTTCCATCATACAACTAGTTGGAATTATTGCGGTGATGTCTCAGGTAGCATGGCAGGTGTTTCTTGTGTTCGTTCCTGTGATCATTATCTGCTTCTACTACCAGGTAATTTAATCTATTTAATATTTACTATTCTTCATGTTTTTTTAACTGCAAGATCAGCACCTTATTACATCTATCATCTTGCAGCGCTACTACATTGAGACGGCCAGAGAGCTGCAAAGGCTGGTAGGGGTTTGCAAAGCTCCTATCATACAACATTTTGCTGAATCAATTACTGGATCAACCACCATCAGAAGTTTTGGCAAAGAAAATCAGTTTGTATCAACTAATAGCCATCTAATGGATGCCTACTCTCGACCGAAATTCTACAATGCTGCAGCAATGGAGTGGCTTTGTTTCCGCTTGGATACACTGTCGTCCTTTACATTTGCATTCGCTTTGGTATTTCTTATCAGTCTACCAACTGGTATCATCGATCCAGGTTAGAATGTTACTAGTTCGGAACAATATTTATACCGAGTAATGGTAGAAGATTAGACGTGACTTGATATGGGCTTGCAACTAAATCTACATCCTGCTTTCAGGTATTGCTGGTCTCGCGGTCACATATGGGCTTAACTTGAACATGCTGCAAGCATGGGTTGTGTGGAGCATGTGCAATTTGGAGAACAAGATCATATCAGTAGAAAGAATTCTGCAATACATAAGCATTCCTGAAGAACCCCCACTTACAATGTCAGAAGATAAGTTGCCCCACAACTGGCCGTCAGAGGGAGAAATTCAGCTTTGTGACGTCCATGTAAGTACTCTTTCCTTTTTTCCTCCAGTTTAATTATGTTCTCCTTTCCTTTTACCGTGTTGTTGTGCATAAATTTCATATTTTTGCCATTGCAAGTGAACTATTATAAATCCAGTCTGATGAGAAACGAATTGCAGATTCAGCTTTTTATCAAATGAGAAATAACCAATTTATTCTAGATAGTGCTGGTCCTTAACTTGTCAAATTTCTGCAGGTGAGATATGCTCCACAACTACCATTTGTTCTGAAGGGCCTTAACGTCACTTTTCCTGGAGGCATGAAGACCGGTATTGTTGGAAGAACAGGCAGTGGTAAATCAACACTCATACAGGCCCTTTTCCGAATTGTCGAGCCTACTGTCGGTCAGATACTGGTAGATGGTGTTGACATCTGCACCATCGGGCTGCACGATCTGAGATCTAGACTTAGCATCATTCCACAAGATCCAACGATGTTTGAGGGAACTGTGAGGAGCAACCTTGACCCTCTTAACGAGTACAATGACGATCAAATCTGGGAGGTAGTTTCGCCTTCACATGCTTCATTTCTTGTCAGTTGTCAAATACTTCCAAAATAGTCGAGAACCTCTTGGAAAGTTGCAGTCTGAATCTTTTGCTCCATTTCAGGCCTTGGATAACTGTCAGCTGGGAGATGAGGTCAGGAAGAAGGAGCTGAAACTCGACTCGCCAGGTCTGATATGTGATATGTTTATTTTCAGTCATGCAGTTGAAAGTCTGAAACTCAGTTTGCTCACCGTTCGCACATTTCCCAATACCAGCTCTTCTCTTTCAAGATTTGAAAACTATATAACACGTGCCACTGCTTCTGTAAACTGAAAATTCATGCTATTTTCCCTTGCAGTGATCGAGAACGGAGAGAACTGGAGCGTGGGCCAGCGCCAGCTAGTCTGTCTCGGAAGAGTGATTCTGAAACGGACCAAGATACTGGTTCTGGACGAAGCCACTGCCTCAGTGGATACCGCGACAGACAACATGATCCAGAAAACGCTGCGTGAGAACTTCTCGGAGGCGACGGTCATCACGATTGCGCATCGAATCACCTCGGTCCTCGACAGCGACATGGTTCTGCTCCTCGACAACGGTCAGCAATCACACCATTAAAACAAATCACGATCGCGCCTCGCTAATTCTTCTGCTAATCCCATGTGCTTGGCACATCTGTTGGTCTGATAAACCCCGTGCCAATCTTATGCAGGTGTGGCCGTGGAGCATGACACGCCGGCCAAGCTGCTGGAGAACAAGTCGTCCCTGTTCTCAAAGCTTGTGGCAGAGTACACGATGAGGGCGACGCATACATAGCCTACGAGTGGATCCTCCAGCCGTTCTTCCACGCCGTTGAGGCTTCCTGAGCGAGTCTTGGCCGTCGATAATGCCGAAAAATTACTGGTAGTAGATGTGATGTGAAGTGCTCCCGGATCGGATCTACCACGGTGTTGGTGCTGCTGATGCTCGCACGGTAACTTTACATGTTCTGAAGGAAAAGGCTGAGAAGGTGGTCAAGAGCCTCGGTTAAAGTTTAGTGTTTGAAGAAAGTAGTTCGTTAAGGATCATGTAGAAAGAACTGAACCCTGGTAGTAGTCGCTCGCTTTACGGCGGAAAAGTTTTGGGGCTTAGTAATTTGATGTACTGTGTGATACCCGGATGAATAAATGAAGTGGGTCAGCTTAGCACTGTTGTATCAGGGCCCCCTCCCTGACTGTTCCTATTGACACCGTGGGTCTGTGTTGGGTTGGGTACAAGAATGCCAAGCATGAACAGCCGTTGCATCTTCTTGTAAACTCTCTCATATTTTCTCCCTCTGCATATTTCAAGTCAAATTCCTCTACAATACCTCCTCATTGTGCAGCTTATTCATCAGGTGCTTGCAAGTCATGTAGCTCCTCGGCTGTTCTGAATTCAGAGGTGAATTCGCCAGTAACTGCTTGCATTTTCAGGGCAGCTGTTCTTTGACTAAGCACAGGGAGCGCCTTTGGCTGATTCTTTTTTCCTTGTGGCCTTGTGACATGTACAAACACGAAAATCTAGGCAAATAATAGAAACGCTGTTGCCTCCCATCATCAGCGAGACGCTGATCCTCGAAGCCGCTGTGCCTCCTCCCGGTTTACACTTATAAGGAGAGATTTCACTTGGGCCATCGGATTTGAACTGAAATTCATCTTTTGAAGCTCTTTCCCTGCGCAGCTTCAGCGACCAGCTTTGCGAAGAGGCCAAATTGCAACGGTGGAGAAGAGAAGAGAAGAGAGCAGCACAGTACAATACACAACCAATGTTCACATAGATCAACATTCCTAACAACAAGCTACAATGGACAGGGCACACACAACAGTGGCAGTGAGACATCAAAAGCGGGCGGGCGACCGAGCAACCGTGGAGAAGAGAAGAGAAGAGAAGGGTGAAAAAGAAGAAGAAGACAAGCCAAGCGTCAAACTGCGGCGGCAAACAACAACAGCAGTGTCCTAACAATGGTCAGATGAGCAGACGTCCGGTGGTTCCTAGCAACAACCATCGTCGCAGCAGAGCAGAGAAGCTCTGCTAGCCCTTGCCGAAGTGGTGGTGCTTCTTGCCGCCGTCTCCCCCCTTGCCGCCGCTCGGCTTCTTCCCGGCGTGCGCCGTCGTGTTCTTCAGTATCTGCACACACACGCGCATGCAAGATTCAGTATCGCCATGGCCAGTGACAAGAAAGACAATTCTGCTGGGAGGATCTAGGCTAAGGTATGGTACCTGGCGGAGCGTGTTGTTCTCGTTCTGGAGGGTGGAGACCTTCTGCTCCAGCTCGGCATTGCGGAGCTCGAGGTCCTTGGCCTTCACCTCCAGCTCCGTCATGTAGGCCTTCTTCCGCTCGCGGGCCTGCTGCGCCGACACGCGGTTCCGCAGCAGCCGCTTCAGCCGGTTCTGCTCCTTGTCCCCGGCGGCGCGCCCGCGCTTCTTCCCCGCCGGGGCCTGCCCACCCCCGGCCGCCGCCAGCTGCAGCTGCTTGCCGTCCCCCGCGCCCGACGACGCCGACCCGCCGCCCATCTCCGGCACCCGCCGTATCTCCTCGTCGCTCTCCGCGCCTGCCACCACATCACACACATAGGTACACATGCGTCGTCAGCGTCTCCACTCTCGAGCTGAGCTGCCGGATTCAGTCAGCGAGCGAGCAAAAGAGCGGCGGGGTGGGCGGGGAGACGGAGAGACGGTGGGTACCTCCTTTCTTGAGGTTGTTGGGGCCGGAGCTGGAGGAGCGGTCGCTGCTGGACGGCAGCGAGCTGGTGGTGCTCGTCTTGGCCTGCTGCTCCTGCTCTTGCGCCGCCATCTCGCCTCCCCGCGTCTTCAAGCTCCAAGAACCGAGGCGGATCGAGCTAGATCTCCCTGAATCTCCCGCCGCCCCACCACCACTCCACCGCCGCCGCTCCGACGAAAAGAAACACAAATCTTGACACTGCCAAGAACGAAGGGAGAAGAAAAAAACGAGAAGGCGGAGAGAGAAGGGGGCCGGGGCAGATGCAGATCGGACGAGGGAGGGAGGGACAGAGCAACGGGAAGTCGGGAAGCGGGAGGAGAGAGAAAGGGAGGGAGGCCGCGTCCGCG